CACTTTACGGGATGGTTTAATGAGAAAAAAGAAAAAAATATTACCGAAATTGAGGAAGATATTTTAAGCCAAATTGAGAAAAAAAAGGGACTAAAAAAGGATGATAAACTTCGCATTTGAAAGAAGGAGAAATTACCTGAATTAGAGAAATTGCAACAAGAAAAAGAAAAATTAGAAAAAAAAGAAAATCCAACTAAGGAGGAAAAAGAGGAATTAGAAAAGAAAAGGAAAGATTATCAGGACAAGTTAGAAAAAGCCAAACTCGCCACCATTGATAATCTTAAAAAACAATTAGAAAAAAATAAATTAAATATCACTGAATTGAATGATAATAAAAGTGCGGGGCAGCAAATATTGCATGACCCTTTAAAATTTTTTATCGTTTCTCCACTTAACCAAACTAGCAAACTATTGGGACTGCATAATCATCTTTTTTTGGAGATAATTTTTAAATTATTAATTATTGAAATAGTTTTTGTTTTAATTTGCTATTCCGAAACGATAGTAATGTGAGAAAATATGGAAAAAGCCCGTGACCCTTCTTTAAGCGTGGAGGAAAGAGACCAGTTGAATTTGGAGGCTTCTTCCTTGTTTAAATATGCTCTTTTTAATTTATGCATGATAATGTTATTTAACTTTTTTCTTACTTACCATCCGGCTTTCTTTGACCGCACTCACTCCTTATTCCAGCCTGAAACATCTTGAAAAACAGCGTGATGATTTTGAGTTTTATTTATTTTTGCCTCCATGCTCCTCTCCAATCTCAGCACTGAGTTCTTACGCTACGGCCGTTTGCTAACTAAACAGGAATTAAAAGTTTATGTGGCAAAAAGTTGAGTGGTTAGCCTCTTTTTTGCCTTAGTTATAATAGTCTTCATGAGATGAGTTCACATGAATAGTGTCGGTAGTAATTTATTTGTTGTTGGTGGGGGGTTAGTCAAGTTCGCCGTAAATATTGTTCGAGTTAAATTTTTCGGTCACCGTGAACACTTTCCACACCGAGGTGTAAGAACTTACCCGAAGAATCAGTAAATTTAAAATGAAATCATCTTCTCATCCTTAAATTTGGATTAAGAAAAATATTTATTAGTCAGCCGTGTAGTCCAGATAAAGTTGGCTAATGTATTCTCAATTCAAAAGATATTTGACTAATTTTTCAACATATTCTTGGCGATTAGCCCCATAATCAAGATAATAAGCGTGTTCTCAAACGTCAATGGCAATCAGCGGACGGCAATGTAAAGCCCAAGGTCCGTCCTGATTAGCGGTATTAATGATTTCCAACTCTTTCTCCTTATTTAACACTAATCAAGTCCAGCCGCTCCCTTTTACTTTTAAGGCACTTTTCACTAATCTTTTCTTTAATTCCTTCAAATCAGTAAATTTTTCTTGGATAATATTTAGTAAGGACGGGATAATTCTTTCTTCAAGTTCGTGTTCTTTTCGCTTAGGTTCAAATTTAGCCAGGTGAGCAAAGAAAAAGTTGTGATTAATTAATCCGCCCCCAAAAAAACGCATATCATCTTTTATTTCCTCCGGCAATTGTTCTAAGTTTCTCATCAATTCTTCCAAAGTAGGAAATTGCTTTTCAATTTTAGATTCTTCTTCAATTTTTCTTCCCCGTAGGGTTTCCAACAACTTAACCTCATAATTCTTATGAAGAATATTATAATGATAGTGCATAGTTTTGAAAGAGATTATATTCTCTAATTCATTAAGGTCATAATACTTTTTTAATTCAATTCTTTGATAGGCATTCATAATTAGTGTATTTTATAAATAATTTTTGCGTTTGTGTTCCTACAATAGTTATAAAATTAAAAATAATAAAGGTCAAAGAGAAAGTAAAAGCAAAAATAGAAGTTATTGAACAATTATTTCCTCCGGCGGGATCTAAAGATAAATTTGTATAAAATTAATTAAGGAGGTAGTAAAGTAAAGTGTAAGGGCGATAAATTGTCTCTCTTTTTTTTTTTTATTTACAATACACCTAATACACTTTAATAAAATATGTTACTAAACAAAAAACTTAAAATAGAAAAATTTGACTTGGGATTAAAAACTTTTGATATATCTTTACCTAACTCTGATAATATAGCAAAAATTATCTTTCGGCGTGATTTGAATTATGTAGATGATATAAGACCAAAGGAGGGGAGATGACTTATTGTTAGACAATGCTCTCCTCATTCTATTGACGAAAAAATTGAGAATGGTCAAAAGGTTTTAGTCGTTGGAGGACCAGTTAGAATTGAAATAGAAAAAAGCGAGAGAGAAAAAAAGGATGAAATATTAAATAGATTTTTTGAGGAAATAAATCAAGATTTTGATTTGACTACCAATCTTGCTGATAAAAGTTTTGTCTTTCCGGACAACCCCGATGCTGCTTCTGTTTATTTACAACAACTTTCCCAAGATGAATTGGAAACTATTACTGATGCTATTACAAAGTGCAAAATTATTTTCCACTTTTTTATTATCAAGAAAGGAAAGATATTAATAAAATTAATATTTTCTGATAATCTTGCCTTCAAAAACAGACATTTATTTTGCACACAGTAATAGCACTGCTTGCTAACTAAAAAATATTAATTATATAAAAACATTAAAATTCAACTTAAAAAACTACTAATAAAATTTCTTTATAATAATTTTTTTATCCTTATGAATACTAATAATATCTTGTAATTTGTTTTGTTCTTGGATGCTCATTTTCCTTACTTTATTTTTATGCTTTTGGTTCTAATTTTGACCATACTTTTTATTTTCCATTATTAGGGTAGCATTTCGATAATAGTCTGCTGGATTTTTAGTTCCTTTTACTCATTATTAACTTATTTTAAATTACTTTCTTTAACTATCTTTTGAATACAGTGAACATATTTGAGAAAGTGGCTGTTTCTCCGTTCTTTATCTTTTGTTTTACTTGTTTGTTTTACTTGCTCCCTCGGACTTTTCTTTATCCAAAATTATTTCATTACTTAATCATTATTCAATTCAATTTGGCTTTTTAATATTAAACCTCCTTGTAACTTCTAAAACTTTTTCTTCTTCAAAAGTGCCTAAAAACGCCATTATTTTGCTAAGGTAGGAGTATTTTGGGGCAATTCCCATATCACGTCTTTTGCTTTATCATTCTTTTTAACTTCAATTCTTAGTCTCAGGTAAAAACTTAGACAACAAACCTAAACTTCTCAAACCTTGTAATCCATCATAAAAACGAGGGTATTTGCTCATTTTATCTAACTCTTTTCAAATCCTTTCATAACTAACTGCTGGTAAAAGTTCTTTGGTTAAATATTTAATTGTTCTTTCAGTTTTTTTCTCTAAACTAAACATTCCTTGAGTTGGATTGAAAATCAAAGAGGTTTGTTCCGGAAACAATTTGCCATTTAACTGATAGAGCAAACGAACTGTTCTAATCATTCTTAACTTATCCTCTCTAAATCTATCTTTTGGATTACCCACTACTCGAATTAACTTTTTTTGTAAATCATCCTTGCCTCCTACAAAATCAAGAATTTTATTAGTCGTAGGGTCATAATATAAGGCGTTAATAGTGAAACCTCTTCTTTTGGCATCTTCCTTAACTGAAACTGCTTTAATACTACTAGGGTGCCTCCCTTCTTTGTAAATACCATCTCATCTAAAAGTTGCAACATCAAATTGATAGCATCCTTTCTTAGCCTTGATTTTGACTAAACAAACTCCGAAAGCCATGCCTACATAAACACAATCAGGGAATAATTTTGGCACTTCTTGAATGGGGCAACTAGTGGCAATATCAATATCTGTTTCTTCATCTACTATGCCGAGAAACATATCTCTTACTCATCCTCCCACCAAATAAGTTTCTATCCACTTTCTTTTAGTCTTTTGACTATTGAAATTGCTCCTTCATATTTATTTCCGATCTCAAATTTAGAATTCATTTGTTTTTAAAATATTCTCTAATTCAGCGGCCACCACAAAACATTCTTGAACTTTTCTAAAATCCTCGGCACTAGCAAAATTATCTTCTCCTTTATCAATTTCTTTCTTTAAATTCAATCTAAGTTGATTAATAAAAACACTACACATTCGATAAATATGAGAATTTGGCTTTTGTTTAGTTCCAAAAGGAACTTCAATCGCCTGTTTCCACTTTTCACATTCGGAGCAAACTCCTTCTTCAACCTCGGGTCGGCATAAATCAATAAAATGACTTTCTTGAATTTGTTTGCTGATATCTATTCACCCCGTAGTATTTTCAATTCATTCTCCTACTTCTTTTTCTTCTTTTTGGTTTCTTGGTCTGCACATTAACTTAATTCCATCCACTACTTTTCAATAAGAATAAATCGACATCTTTTTTTGAGTACTTATAGTTTCAAATGTTATTCTTAATAAAAAAGGATATTGCTTAGAAACTTCAAAAATTAATGATTTAACCGGAAGTTCTAGTCCTTTTTTTTCTTTCAGTATCCTTTTTAATTTTTTCTTGCCGCTGATTAACTGCTGTCTGACATTTATCACAAATTTTAGGACAAGTTTTGCAATCAACACAAGAACCAAAAATGGTTTTCTTTTCAAATAATTTTTTACAATAGTGACAAAGTTTGCTCGTTGTTTTTAATTTCATTATATTCATTCCTTGAAATCTTCTAGAACATCATCTGCCATTTCGGCTATGTATCCGTTCTCTTTCAAAAATAAAACAAGTCGCACTTCATTATTCTAGACCACCCTTTCCTATTCACTTCTGAACTTGTTCCCAACTGAAGCCAAAATTTTCCTATTTTTCTTGCAATTTTGGGGTGAAACCCTGGTGGATAACTTTTCAGTCATTCATAATTTTTTAAGAATTTAAGTTTATATACTAGGTTTTAGTTTCATTCTAAGGATTTCTTCCAAATTAACCATACTTCTGCCCTAATTTTTTCATCATAGTTAAACATTTTTTATAAAATTTCTCCTCAGGAAGGAGTTTTTTTCAGACAACCTTTCGGTAAAGATAATCGTATAGTTGATACAAATCTCGTCTTTCTCCAAAGCCGGGCGGGAGAGAATAATATTTTTGGTATTCAGCCCAAAACTCTGGTTTGGAAAATTCGCCTTCACAGCCTTCTGGAACTTTCCCTCCAACTCAATTAATATCCCAACTGGAATAATGTATCAGTGATAAATCCATTTCATTATGTCCGTAGTAGGAATGAGCATCAAAAACTCAGGGCTGATTAGTTTGCGAATTAATGCCTCAACTGTCAAAATCTAAATTGCCATGAATTAAAACTGGCTCAACTGGTAAATTACCCAGCAAGTCAGGAATAACTTTGGTGCCAATAATTTCTCCTCATTTTTTCAGTTCCTCATCCTGCGGACATTTTTCTAATACTCTTTTTCAAAGTGGTTGTCAACGATTTTCGCGAAAAAAGGTTTCTCAATTATTCTTTCACTGGTTATTTTTGCCTGTGTGAAAACCAAATTTTTCGTTCGGTGATTTCTTTTGGTGGAGTTTAGCCAAACTTTTAGCAAGTAATTTTTGATTTTCAATTATCAGTCGGTCATGTCAGCGGGCTTCGATAAGATTAACTACTAAAAATTTTCCGCCGTTTGGCAAATTTCCTAAACAGAACGGATACGGGGCAAAATCCGGAACCGCTTCATTGATAGCAAGCATGGATTCTTTTTCATACTCAAAGCGGGATAAATCCGAATAGTCATTTATTTTGACGAAAAACTTGCCCCTGTCCGTAAATAAATAAAGAGCCTGGTCTTGGTCGTGACGCTCCTCTTGGTTGCCTGGAACCATATTAAACCCTCACCTATAATCAAAAAAAGACTTATTTTTATCAATGCCAACTTGGGAGGCTAAACTTCCGATAATGGTTTTTTCTTCCGCGGAAGTAAGTTTTTTGCCCTCCTTTTTCTCTTCTAAGGTTAGTTTGTTAAAAATATCTTCTCTTTTGGCTGGAACATTGTCAATTTGGAAAGTCATCAGCAGAAAATTTTTATCAATTGGAGGTTTGGCGGGAGGAACAACTGGTCTGCTAGGAGGCTTTTCTGTCTCTGAACCTTTGGCACTGCTCGAAGTCTTATAAGATTTTATAATTATATAAATTACCCTTCAACAAATTACGATAATCAAAACAACTACTCCGACGCCAAGAATTATTGTTTTTTTTTTTTTTTTTGCATATTAATTTATTTTTTGTTGCTTCTCCGTGCCTTAAAACCCAAAAAACTTAAATAATGGAATTAGAATTTCTCCAAGAATTAAACGAACAACAAAAACAAGCGGTCTATGAGGAACAC